CCCCCCCCCCCCCCCCCCAAAATTGTTTAATCAATTAAAAAATTGGAATATAGTTTTGTCTTATTCTACACTTATTGGGCGAGCAACAGAAGAGATACTAGTGGAAATTTAGCTTGTTTTTTTATAAATGTTTTCAATCCGTAATGTTGTCATTTTTTTTTTCAAACTATTTATTTGTTACCATTATTTAAATAGGCCCTAAATGATTATTTTAAAAGATATTTCCGTTCAAAAAAGTTGTTATTCACAAAAAATGACTGCTAACATTTTTAGACATGTTGAAAGCCCAAGAAACAAAACTATAAATATAATTTTTGCATTTCTTTTTTTAAAAAAATGCATATTTACAAGTTATACAGATACAAAAAAGGGATCAAATACTGTTTTGTAGAAAATGTTTTAGAATTTAAAAGTGCAATTTTTTAAAAATAATTGTACTGGAATGGCATAATTATGCGAAGAAGATAAGATATATTAATATTTACACAAGTCTACATAGTAAGACCTGATTTATCTGAGGGAATTCGAAACAGTGCAAATTTTCCAACTATTCAGTTCAGTAAATTAAAAAGTATATTAGGAATTTCAAACGGCTGTAAATAACTTAATTAATTGCTAATTAACGAATGTACTCAGCCTGTTGTATAACGCTTTGATCGCACATTTCACCCCCCCCCCCCCCCCACCAACCCCCCAAACCATTGGATTTGTTTGTTTGTTTTTTTTTTGTTTTTTTGTTTTTATAATTTACAATTTCTTCTAAATCTGGTACCAACAAAAACAAATGCAAAGGATTTGAAAATAAATTTTAAAAAATCAAACATGGGAAACCTGCTCCCTACTACATTTTAAAGCAAATTAAATTACCTAAAGATCATTAAATTTCCATTAACAATACGGGCAACTTGAGGCCAGAGTTCCCTGCCTTAAGTGGAGACTCTCACTGTCACAAACTGTCGCACCGTCTTAGAGCCCCAACTCCCTTTTTTTTTTCCTGAGCATGACGTACTTTATGAACTGCCCCTAAACCTCGAAGTTCGCTTTAAAAAAAATACAGCATTTGATATGATACCGAAAACCTGATTCATGTTGTGCTTCAGGGAATATTTAATTGGAGAGAGACTGAAACAACAAGATATAAGCTGTTAGCACGATGTCATTTTGCATCCTTTCAAATAGATAAATGTCATGCTAACATCCTTTCAAAATAGATAAATGTCATGCTAACATCCTTTCATGTAACGTAGCACCATATCATCTTAATATCTTTTCATGAATAGCACAATGACATGTTAACACCCTTTCATATCGCACAATGTCATGGTAGCATCATTTATGTAGCAAAATGTCATGTTAACAGCCTTTCATGTCGCACAATGTCATGTGAACAGCCTTTCATGTAGCACAATGTCATGTGAACAGCCTTTCATGTAGCACAATGGCATGTGAACAGCCTTTCATGTAGCACAATGTCATGTGAACAGCCTTTCATGTAGCACAATGTCATGTGAACAGCCTTTCATGTAGCACAATGTCATGTGAACAGCCTTTCATGTAGCACAATGTCATGTGACCAGCCTTTCATGTAGCACAATGTCATGGTAACACCCTTTCATGTCGCAAAATGTCATGTGAACAGCCTTTCATGTCGCACAATG